CAGCCTAAATGTGTGACCTCGTGTCCTATGTATAGCCCTGTTTATGAATAGATTTCCAGATAATGGTTTGTACTGGCCCCGAATATATTTGTATAATGTTATCATATCTCCTCTCAGGCGCAGTTTATCCAAACTTAAGAGATTTAAATTTTTTAACCTTTCTTCATAACTAAAATGCTCCATTCCTTTTATCAATTTTGTAGCTCGTCTCTGCACTTTTTCTAGTGCCATGATATCTTTCTTTAGAACAGGTGCCCAAAATCGCACAGCATATTCAGGGTGTGGTCTTACCAGCAATTTATAAAGAGGCAAAATTATATTTTCATCTCGAGAATTTATGCCCCTATTTATACATGACAAAACCTGGCCTTAGCAAAGGCAGATTGACATTGCATATTGCTGCCTAATTTGTTGTCTATAAAAATTCCCAAATCCTTCTCGTGTGTGGTTATCCCTAGTTCACTACCATTTAGGGTGTAAATTGCTTGTGCATTCTTAACCCCGAAGTGCATAACTGTGCATTTCTCTACGTTAAATTTCATCTGCCATTTTAGTGCCCAGGGAGTGTGGGTTATAGGAGGTGTGGGGAGCTGCAGTGAGTGTGCTGCTCAGGTAGTGTGTGTTATAGGAGGTGAGGGGAACTGCAGTGAGTGTGCTGCTCAGGTAGTGTTGATTATAGGAGGTGAGGGGAGCTGCAGTGAGTGTGTTGCTCAGGTAGTGTGGGTTATAGGAGGTGTGGGGAGCTGCAGTTAGCATGCTGCTCAGGTAGTGTGAGTTATAGGAGGTGTGGGGGGATGCAGTGAGCGTGCTGCTCAGGTAGTGTAGATTATAGGAGGTGTGGGGAGCTACAGTGAGCATGCTGCTCAGGAAGTGTGGGTTAAAGGAGTTGTGGGGAGTTGCAGTGAGCGTGTTGTTTAGGTAGTGTGTGAGTTATAGGAGGTGTGGGAGCTGCAGTGAGCGTGCTGCTCAGGTAGTGTGGGTTATAGGAGGTGTGAGGAGCTCCAGTGAGAGTGCTGCTCAGGTAGTGTGGGTTATTGGAGGTGTGGGGAGCTGCAGTGAGTGTGTTGCTCAGGTAGTATGGGTTTTAGGAGGTGTGGGGAGCTGCAGTGAGCGTGCTGCTCAGGTAGTGTAGGCTATAGGAGGTGTGGGTAGCTGCAGTGTGCGTGCTGCTCAGGTAGTGTGAGTTATAGGAGGTGTGGGGAGCTGCAGTGAGCGTGCTGCTCAGGTAGTGTATGTTATAGAAGGAGTGGGGAGCAACAGTGAGTGTGCTGCTCGGGTAGTGTATGTTATAGGAGGTTTGGGGAGCTCTAGTGAGTGTCCTGCTCAGGTAGTGTGTGTTATAGGAGGTGTGGAGAGCTGCAGTGAGTGTGCTGCTCAGGTAGTGTGTGTTATAGGAGGTGTGGGGAGCTGCAGTGAACGTGCTGCTCAGTTAGTGTGAGCTATAGGAGGTGTGGGGAGCTGCAGTGAGTGCAGCTCAGGTAGTGTGGGTAATAGGACGTGTGGGGAGCTGCAGTGAGTGTGCTGCTTGGGTAGTGTGGGTTATAGGTGTTGTGGGGAACTGCAATGAGTGCAGCTCAGGTAGTGTGGGTTATAGGAGGTGTGGGGAGTTGCAGTGAGCGTGTTGTTTAAGTAGTGTGTGAGTTATAGGAGGTGTGGGAGCTGCAGTGAGCGTGCTGCTCAGGTAGTGTGGGTTATAGGAGGTGTAAGGAGCTCCAGTGACAGTGCTGCTCAGGTAGTGTGGGTTATTGGAGGTGTGGGGGGCTGCAGTGAGTGTGTTGCTCAGGTAGTATGGGTTTTAGGAGGTGTGGGGAGCTGCAGTGAGCGTGCTGCTCAGGTAGTGTAGGCTATAGGAGGTGTGGGTAGCTGCAGTGTGCGTGCTGCTCAGGTAGTGTATGTTATAGGAGGAGTGGGGAGCAACAGTGAGTGTGCTGCTCGGGTAGTGTGTGTTATAGGAGGTTTGGGGAGCTATAGTGAGTGTCCTGCTCAGGTAGTGTGTGTTATAAGAGGTGTGGAGAGCTGCAGTGAGTGTGATGCTCAGGTAGTGTGGGGAGCAGTGAGTGTGCTGCTCAGGTAGTGTGTGTTATAGGAGGTGTGGGGAGCTGCAGTGAACGTGCTGCTCAGTTAGTGTGAGCTATAGGAGGTGTGGGGAGCTGCAGTGAGTGCAGCTCAGGTAGTGTGGGTAATAGGACGTGTGGGGAGCTGCAGTGAGTGTGCTGCTTGGGTAGTGTGGGTTATAGGTGTTGTGGGGAACTGCAATGAGTGCAGCTCAGGTAGTGTGGGTTATAGGAGGTGTGGGGAGTTGCAGTGAATGTGCTGCTCAGGTAGTGTGGGTTATAGGATGTGTGGGGAGCAGTGAGTGTGCTGCTCAGGGAGTATTGGTTATAGGAGGTGAGGGGAGCTGCAGTGAGTGTGCTGCTCAGGTAGTGTGGGTTATAGGATGTGTGGAGAGCAGTGAGTGTGCTGCTCAGGTAGTATTGGTTATAGTAGGTGTGGGGAGCTGCAGTGAACATGCTGCTCAGTTAGTGTGTGTTATAGGAGGTGTGGAGAGCTGCAGTGAGTGTGCTGCTCAGATAGTGTGGGTTATAGGAGGTGAGGGGAGCTGCAGTGAGTGTGCTGCTCAGGTAGTGTGGGTTATAAGAGGTGTTGCTAGCTGTAGTGAGTGCAGATCATGTAGTGTATGTTATAGGAGGTGTGGGGAGCTGCAGTGAGTGCAGCTCAGGTAGTGTGGGTTATAGGACGTGTGGGGAGCTGCAGTGAGTGTGCTGCTCAGGTAATGTGGGCTATAGGTGTTGTGGGGAACTGCAATGAGTGCAGCTCATGTAGTGTGGGTCATAGAAGGTGTGGGGAGTTTCAGTGAATGTGCTGCTCAGGTAGTGTGGGCTATAGGTGTTGTGGGGAACTGCAATGAGTGCAGCTCATGTAGTGTGGGTTATAGAAGGTGTGGGGAGTTTCAGTGAATGTGCTGCTCAGGTAGTGTGGGTTATAGGATGTGTGGGGAGCAGTGAGTGTGCTGCTCAGGTAGTATTGTTATAGGCAGGGCCGGATTAACATAGGGGTGATGGAGCTGCAGCTCCAGGCCCAGGCCCATGGAATAGGCCCATTAAAAAAAAAATATATATATATATATTTATTTTTTTACACACTACTCTTGGGTTTGCCACCTGACTGGTATTTTACCAGCACAGCCGGTATTTGGGGCTGCCTGGCCGTGCCAGTATTGCAGTAATACCGTCAATACAAATGCAGATATTTTTCTCAGTATAAATGGAGATTACTCTGCAATACCAGCACCAGTCAGTAGGGGTCACTGTGTGTGGAGAGAGGCAGGGATAGGAAGTTACAGCATATCCCTCCCTGTCTCTCCTAGTCACTGATCCGCGGGGGCACAGCTACACAGCGCAGAGAGTTCAGACAGCAGCTCCCAGTTCGCAGACAGCTAAGGTAAGTGAAGGATGGGTGGGAAAGAAAGCAGAGAAACATGGGGACACTGAGACACTAGGGGACACTGAGACACTTGGGGACACTGAGACACTAGGTGACACTGTGAGACATAGGGACATTGGGAGACACTATGTCTCCATGTCTCCATGTCTCCCAGTGTCCTCATGTCTCCCAGCCAATGTCCCTAGTGTCTCATTGTCCCCATGGCTCCCAGTGTCCCCTAGTCTCCCAGTGTCTGTGTCCCCATGTCTCTCAGTGTCCCTAGAGTCTCATTGTCCCCATGTGTCCCAGTGTCCCCAAATATCTGTCTCCCAGTGTCCACATGTCTACCATACAGTGTGCCTAGTGTCTCAGTGTTCCAATGTCTCCCAGTGTCCCTATATCTCCCAGCCAGTGTCCCTAGTGTCTCAGTGTCCCCATGTCTCCCAGTGTCCCAAAATGTCTCAGTGTCCCTGTAACGAGACCAATCTCGCCACATTGCAAAGACATGAAAGCCGGGTCATTTGGTGCTTGCCCTGTTTGAGCGGTGATACCCCAGATAGCTATGACATGGAGCCCATTCGTATAATGAAAGACTAGGGGAAAGACTTTGGCTCCATGGCAATTGAACTGTATGTGTGTGTGCTTTCAGCGCCATCCAGTAATAATGTGCACTCAGATCTGAGCTATCTGGGGATATGTTGAATGTACCTGTTTTGTGCAATGGCTGCACAGTTATATGTTTTTATGTGTTTTATTGTCTTTTGCTGCCATGTGTTCAATGGAGTTTTGCCTCTGTCCTTGGAGATAATTGGATTACTTCCCAATTATCTCCAGGATAGAAGACTCTGTGGAACTGGTTTTGGGCAGAAAAGCCATGCTTCCTTTGGTCACAAAGGACTACGATCTATCTTTTGAACCACTGGACCAAATGTGATGAATGTGATGCATACTTTTCAAGTTATGAATAATGTGGAAAAAATTTATTTCTCTGCTTGTTATAATTACATTACCCATTGTGTAAGGTAATTGAATCACAGGCAGAGGGGAGGATTTTGTGTGGGAGTGTCTGAGTGTATTGTATGTGTTTATTGGTTGTGTTCCAAAACCCTGTGGGTGGTACTAATGTGTAAGAATGTGTACATAAGCACAATAAACCCACAGCTCTGACTGTTCACCGCTTGACCCTCAACACGGAGCTTTGTCTCGTTCTTGGGGGGATTTACTGTATGCTGTTCCAGTTTGACTGCTAGGAGTGTAAACCTATTCGTATGTTTTTTCCTATTCGGCTGTTTACGGCATTCATATGGTTTCCTGTTCGGCGGATTGGTGTTCTGCGGTAGCTGTGCCTGTGTCTCGGGAAGAGGAAGATCTTCTAAACGGCGGTTTTACCCTTTTATGCTGAGGTTGCCGTTACAGTCCCCATGTCTCCCAGTGTCCCTATGTCTCTCAGCCAATGTCCCTAGTGTTTCAGTGTCTCCACTGTACCCAGTGTCCCCTAGTCTCCACTGTCTCCCAGTGCCCCCAAATTTTTCAGTGTACCCATGTCTGGGTCCACAAGTGCCCCCACTGGGACACTGGGAGACATGGGGACACTGAGACACTAGGGACACTCAAACCTCCCAGCCCGTGTCCCTAGTGTCTCAGTGTCCCCATGTCTCCCAGTGTCCCAGTGTCTGTGTCCCCATGTCTCTGTGTCCCTAGTGTCTGTGTCCCTATGTCTCCCAGTGTCTCCATGTCTCCCAGTGTCCCCATGTCTATATCCACAAGTGCCCCCATATCTCCCAGTGTCTCCAAGTGTCTCAGTGTCCCATGGTGTCTCAGTGTCCCCATGTCTCACTGTGTGCACATGTCTCACGGTGTCCACATGTCTCACTGTGTCCCCTAGTATCCTAGTGAAAAGTGAAATACTGAGACATTGGGACACAGGGAGAAATGAGGACAATGAGACACTGGAAGACTAGGGGACTGGGCGTCCAATTCTTTGGACAGACATGCCCCTTTTGGCAGTTCTGGTCACGTGATTCGCGTCAGTGGCCCACCCTTTTACCCTGCCCATTGACTTCCTGCTTCACTGGACACTGCTGATTTACTTGAAAGATGAAAGCATAAATTAGAGAGAGATTAGCATAGAGTATGTGTATTCTTATAGCTGCATCCTTTGAGTTTCCCTCCAGCACCATCTCCATCAGATACATGACGCTTGGGAGGTATGACGGTTTTAGTGTTTTTGGTTGATAAGATTCTGTAATTAGGCCCCATCATAACTGTCAGCACCAGGCCCACTGTGCTCTTAATTTGGCCCTGGTTATTGGAGGTGTGGGGAGCTGCAGTGAACGTGCTGCTCAGTTAGTGTGAGCTATAGGAGGTGTGGGGAGCTGCAGTGAGTGTGTTGATCAGGTAGTGTGGACTATAGGAAGTGTGGGGAACTGCAGTGAGTGTTGCTCAGTTAGTGTTGGTTATAATTAAATTAGATTTCCTTCTGAATTCTGCTCATTCCCATTTCATTAATTTAATCCAATCAAGTTGCATCAGTT